GAATGGGTCATCACTAGCTACCTTTCAGCAGGCATTATCACTAGCGACTCACATAATTTCTCCACATTAGGAAAATGAACAATGCGAGAAGGTCAATAAAAGCACATACCTGACTTGTACAAATGGTTGCAATGTTTCCTACAAACACAAGAATCCAAGAAAACAATATTTATCCTAGCATCACAAAATGAAAATCCAGTTATTCGATTATCCAAATATCGCAGTATTAACCGAATAACCAACTGATTATCTGGTGAATCTGGTCATCCAGTTTTCAAAACCGATAAACCGATGAATCGATAACCAGATAACTGGTTTTGTCGCAAAACCGGTTTAACGTTGATGCCCTACCGCGAAACAGCCACCGACCGAAACACCAATCGAACGTAAAGCCACAGCCACGGGATAAAAAACAGTTTTTATGCAGCGGCTGTGGTAAAGCTAAGCTAATAGGCGAACTGTTGCTCACAGAACCCATTTTGAGAATCAATGTGCACATGCTAGAGCATCCAGGAGCCATCTCGCACGCAGGGAAATGACTCCACATTTACAGTTACTCGCTCAGGGCAAACACGCACGAGTAGGGGACCGCACGCAGTAGCGTCGACATTAAAGTCACAGCTACCAAAGGAACGAGCTACGCACAACAAAGAACCCGAGAGTCAACCCCGCTTTTGCTTGCCACTTGACTCGGTGGTTTTCGCTAAGCGGCAGTGGTACCAGAACACAGAGCGTAGCTAGTAGAAGCAGCACACTCGATGCACGGCAGCACATTTTTGCGGGGTCATGCATATTTACAACAGTTTAGAGAAGACTATGGCGGCACCATGGGAGCCTTCATCACCATAAAGGTGCAAAGTAAAATAAACGTTGGGTGCGTCTTATTAGTCAACTTGGCATTTTCCCTGCGCTAAAGCTGAGGTTGGTATCAAAATTCTAGCTTTCAAGGCTGTTTTGGAGCAGTTCAGCGCAAGGAAACGGAAATGTATCAAAATGCGCACTATGCGCAGCTGTCTCACCCCTGAATTGATCCTACTTATAGTCATAAAAACATGGGACATGTACGGATCTAGATGCGTTAGAACCCTAGCCTACTAGTAGCCTCTCCCTAACCTTAGTACGCTTTTTAGCAAGACACTCGAGTACTGTAGGGAAGTAACCTAATATGCGCTTTGCACGAAATGACGAAGGCCAGAAAGTTTTAAAACCACTGTCCTTTATGTTTATTTCTTATCGTGGGGGTTCGCTTTAAATTCGAGTCTCTATGATGCAAATAGGAAAGTTCCCCAAGGCATGTGCCCCAACAATCCTGCATGTTGAAGTTGTGATGCCTAGCTCCTTCGCCAAGACCTTCCTTTTCCGGTTCTCATCCACCTTTCACAGGATGTCTGATTGCAAGGACATGGTTTGCATCGATGTGGCAGACACATGTAAACACAGTGTAACATTGCTGCCTTGAGGACAGGAGCATGCGTTGGGGTGGGGGCAACTGTGATGCCAAAACCATCTGCAATCTAAACCCAAAGGCACGCGAAGGCGCATTAGGGCCTCAGAGATTTGAGTGCATGATTTGTCGTGTCTTCTGCAGCAACGGAGGCAGTACCTGCTTTGAAACAGCGTGGTAGCGTATGTTTGCATCAAACGTCACGGGGGTGAAAAACGATGAGCAAAAACCATACACCATTAAATTGTAGGCTGATGGGCCTCAGCGGGGGACTACAGTGAAATTCGTTTCACCCCTAAATTTGTACAAGCCATTATTGTATCACCGAGGTTTCACAGTACATAGCCCCGTTTTCCAAATGACTGGGTGAGTACATTACATCCCGATGTGTGACATGCATAATCACATCTATTAACACACATACTGTGTTCTTGCATATAACCCACTACTACATGCTCACCCAGCACCCATATATTTTATGTGCAGTTTTTCATAATTTGGTGCGGGTTATATACAGTATACACAGAAAATACAGTATACACAGTTGCTGACAGTTTATTTGGATGCGGAAAACTCAGATGATTTGATTGATTCATGGGGTTCAACGTCCCAAAACCACCATAGATTATGAGAGACGCCGTAGTGGAGGGCTCCGGAAATTTTGACCACCTGGGGTTCTTTAACGTGCACCCAAATCTGAGCACACGGGCCTCGACATTTCTGCCTCCATCGGAAATGCAGCCGCCGCAGCCGGGATTTGAACCCGCGACCTGCGGGTCAGCAGCCAGTACCTTAGCCACTAGACCACCGCGGCGGGGCGATGCGGAAAACTCAGACATGCACATTTATTCGACACCTTCAGAGCACTGCCACTTGTCCATCAAGGTAATGTAAACTTGCGACTGAAAATTTGGATGCCCCACAGTGCGCCGTTACAATTTTTCGCACTATAGCTGGTCGATGAAGCCCAACATCGAGTGCCATAACCAGCTAGCTGTCCGCAATGTTTACAATAATTTCACTAAATTGCCAGCACTGAAAGGTTGCACTGGCTATGGCTGGAGACCATGCCAGCATAAAAATCGATGCATAAATTACAATTGCCGATCTCTAAGGCTAAGTTTTTTGGCTACATGTAATAGCTGCCTTGCAGCTTTAGCCAGCTGAGTATCCATCGAATCGTTGCCACAACCAAACCACAAGCCAAGTTAAACCACGCTTGGAGTCAGCTGGGGTGGCGTTAAGAGAATAACCACGTGCACGAACCAGACGAACTAAACCATGAGCGCCGCAGCATGAACTAGCCTGCTGTCGCTCTCTTTTCGCATTTGAGTATTTGCGTTGTTAGTTCTTTCTGCAGCTAGGCCTAATCTGCGTCTCACACTTTGCATCTCGCTCTCTTGTTTGTTTATTGAATGCAAGACCTTATCTGTTGAAATGGATCAGACGCCACCCATACCATTTACTACGTCAGTACCAATGAAGAAACACTGCACCTACAAGACACTGACGATGGCAAAAAAAGCTGCAATTAATCCCCGGGTTGAAGGCAGCTAACGTATATCTAATGTTGCTTGGAACTTTTCACAGAGTTAGACGATGATGAGATTGTCTGTCAGGCCCTCAAACTAGCGCCACATAAAGCAACTCTGATGAAGCGCCGCCGACAGCACTGTTACCAAATGCCTATTTAGAACAGGCCGTAACAGCGCTATTCAACTTACACTGATGGTCAAACACTGGCTGAAATACATGCAAAGTTGATAATTGTGATCGTGCTTGTATGCAGACGCACACTGACAAGTTCTTCCGGTCACTGGGGCAATAAAGGAGCTTTTTTTCTTTGAAGTTAATTTTCTTTTAGAACTCCTGATTATTTGGACTTACAGCGGTTCCAATCAAGTCCAAATAAACAGTCGGTGGGTGTATACTATTTTTGGAGCATTACGATTTCATTTTTTTTTTCTAATTGCGAGTTCGAGCACACTGTGATCAAAGGAGCATAGTTGCACTGTTTCTACTTCTGTTGCAATTGAGTTGGGTATTTTGTTGAATTGAACGTTATTGATTCAGCAGCCTTTAAAACCGCCTTGTAGCAGCTTGAACTTGGCCTTCGAGCCAACAGACTATTATTTCAAAGGCCTTCTAAATTCCCCTGTGACATGGCTGTATTAAAGTACCTGAAAAAAACTAAAGTAGTGCCAACCGCACCCTTCGCCTCTACCTCCTTTCCCAGCAACCACAGCAGTACCTCTAGAGTGTCCACCAGAACTGAAAAAAACTAAAGTAGTGCCAAACGCACCCTTTGCCTCTACCTCCTTTCCCAGCAACCACAGCAGTACCTCTAGAGTGTCCACCAGAAAACTACGAATGCAAACGCACGCGGGTGCACGGGATGTGCTAGATGCTTGGCAAGCTCAGGCACTGCTGCACCGTGTGTTCATCGAGCGGCCGTGCCTCGGGTATGCTGAGAGGGGACCCCGGTGGCATCCGTTCATGGAGCGCGCGCTCACGAAAGTGAAAAAAATTCCGCCATATCCCCGAAGTGAATGATGATGAGTGGGCGAAGCTCCGGAGGTAAACCTGGTAAACCATGAATCCTCTGTACATTTTGCCCACTCGATTTTATTACATCGCTCCCCCTAGCGTACGTCGCCGCACTAAATCGAACGATTGCCTTCAACCAATGACACGCGCCATGTGTGACATCATTCCTATTTTATAAGATCTCGCGTCTTTCATCAACTACAAGTACCGCTTTCTAGTTTATAACATCTTGCATCTTTTCATCATCAGCTACAAGTACCACCATCTAGTAAACACTACAAGAACTAAACGAGAGGTGGCTACATACAGGGGACGGTACCACCATCTAGTGAACACTGCAAGAACTAAACTAGAGGTGGCTACATACAGGGGACGGTACCGCCATCTAGTGAACACTGCAAGAACTAAACTAGGGGTGGCTACATACAGGCTACAGGGACGCACAGCCCACGCCTAAGGAGCTTCGCCCCTAAAAACAATATGGCGCTTGTGATACCTACGCAAAAGCTAGTGCGTCATGCTGCAGATTCTTAGCACCGCCAAGTTTACATAGACAGCAGTGGCACTGCCATCGAGAGCGTCAGTGCTGAGCACGTCTGCACGCAAACGGTGGGCTATCGCGTTGAGTATTGCGTGCTTGCGGTGATATTTTGCTACTGCATGCCTTGCTTATATACACGTCACATTATTGTATACAACGTTACTTTTCATGTTTTTTCTTTTTCAATCACTTTTTTGGTGCATCGCCTAGAACCGTAACAGCCCTCAACTAGCGCCGTTTACTATCTGCTATGCACGCAAGGGGAGAGGAGCTGCACATTGACACGTTTTTTTCAGGGACTTTAGGCTGTATGTGCAATAATGGTGACTCAACAATAAAGCTTTCAGAACAGGCCTTTTGGAAATAAATTTGATGTAACTGACAGTTCATTAAAACTGGTCCAGGGTTCGAAATTTGAAACAATGATGGGGCTAAAAGTGTACTGCATTGTTAATAACCGGGGCTCACCTGACTGTCATGTCTTTCGAAGGCAACATGTCGATTTCCAGCACTGTTGTACCATCAAGGCGACGTTCTTGGCATGGCGTAGAGTTCTTTCCACACCCTGCTGGCCTGATAAAACATATGAGGCTGCACTTTGCCTTGGTCTGTGCCAATGAACACTTGTAACTTCACTTGTTCCTGCAGTCCAGTCAGCTGCAACAGCCCATGAGGTGGTTTCACTAAAGTCAGTATGCTAAAGATTTCGAACATAGTTCAGTACACTACACAGTTCGAATTACTCCAATATGTGCAAACAATTTCGTGAAAAAATTTGGCTTTAAACTGAGCGCAGTCAGACAATAATTGGGGGGAAGAAAATGCTCAGTTCCTGGAGAGGCAAGACTTTTGCTTCGAGAAAAGGAGAAGAGGGCACGAGAGGAGAAAATATGTTAACTTAGGCTAAACAAGTACTTCCAAAAACGATGCTAGTTCATGTTCATTGTGCTCTGTGAAAAACATAGGGACTCACTGAACTGAACAACTATAATGCAGTTCCCAGTATAAATAAATTTTAGACGTGACTACAAACCTGGTGAAATGCCAGTGATGGCTAGTGTTCCAGTAGTCTAGGAAACTTGAACTAAGCTCTATTATACATTAGTGAAAGTAAACCATTTTATGTGGCACAAAAAACTTTTGCATCTTCTTGTCTTAACATAATCGTACCGCACCGACTCTAATTACTGGTTCAAGTTCGCTGTGTGCCTGGTTCAAAAGCAAATTCTAATGCATTTTCATTAGTCACTTCTACAGCAGCTGCTAACACGTCGAATTTCCACAGTGTCAGGTTTTGGGATTTCTGAAACCAGTTGTGACAACTTAGTCACAGCTGGTTCACTTGTTTGAATCTTCAGGTTAAAAAGTTGCCTCATTTCATAACTGCTAATCCACTAAGTACCTCTAAGTTCATGAAAAATGCATGGGTATGCCATGAAAGTAATCTCAAAGAAATCGCTTAATTACCAAACTTGAAACACTGCAATTTCTGAAACGCTATACTTTTTTGCTCTCAGATGGTGGAGCCTTGTTTCCATTCAGTGAATAGAATCCGTTTCATGCATTTAAAGGGCCCCTGAACTACTCCCACTTTATTTTCAAACATTTTAAGTAAATATGCCTATCGTGTGCAGCATACCTCGCAATCAATGATTTTACTCGCGGCAGCGCTACGAGCTGCGCTCGTCACAAATTTCAAGAAAAATACCTCTTCCTCTCCGGGAATTTCGAGCCTGTGTGACGCCGAAAACTTGAATCTCTGACGCGCAACACATCGATGCTATGAATGATGGAGCAAGAGCTTAGAACATACATATGCACGCACTTGTGAATCGGCTACTGCTGCCCTAACACAGGGTGCATACAGGCACGATTCGTATAAGCACGGGCCGGCACAGCAGCAGTAGTTCGCCAACAGCACACAGTAAAGGAGTTGACGAAGGGACAGGGTCGCGGCAATTCTAAAAGTAGACGGGGTCTCGAGCAGCACAACGGTGATGACGTGCCTCGCGAGATTGGGAGTGGTTGCTTGGCGAGAGAGCAAAGTGGCCTTTGGGAGAGGATACCAGCAGAGGGCAGCGAAGGAAAGAGCAAAAGGAGTGATCACACGTTTCGATAATCAAACGCATCTAACTCCGCTATTACGACAGTTTCTAAGAATTCTACACCTACGTGGTCGTGGTATGCTCTGCCCAACTTCCCCCTCACAACTGAATTCGACCCTGAGTGGTTTAGGGGCTCTTTCAAAAGAAGTATAAATAGCACTAGAATGTCATTAATTGGTTTAACAAGACTGGCAATTATTTCAAACTATTCAAATGTAAGGTTTAACTAAATGGTTGAACAAGTATGGGTTCGAGCTGGTTGGTACTACATGATCCACTATTACGAGAGCAAAATTACTTAGACAACGAACAAAACAGACACGGACAAGCACAAACTTCCAACTGAGTGTATTATTGAAATGAGACATATGAGAGGTATTCCTTCGGGCAGCAATTTTTGTCCTTTATATGAGATGTCTCTTGTAAGCAGGGTACCTTGTATGCATTTCCTTGTCTACCTGTACTTTACTGTAGGCAGGACTGGTGTCTCCGATACCCATTTATCTCTTATATCAGTCTCTCTTGTAAAGGGGTTCTAGTATGAATTCGACTGCGTATGTGTGTGTGTCTATCACTGTGTATACTTGTGTGCTGCTGCCACAAGTATGTTATTCAGCACAATATCCGGGTCATGACCATTGCAAAAGAAAAAGTCACAAGCTTTGCCACAAAAGTGAGGCAAAGAACGTGATAGCAACAAATTAGAAGGTCACGCCAGAATGGCAAGCAGATCGAAACATATTTCTCGCACCCGTATATATTTCTCCCGTATTCTCACGCACAAATGGTTCACGAAACGTACTCCACGGGTACGAATGAACGTGAATAAGCGCTTCAGTTGTAACTTCGCAGTGTTTGGAAAGTGCGCCCTTTCGCAAACGGAGACTGTGCAACAATTGCAGTGACTTTTGTGCACCCGGTAACTACAACAGAATCGTTCCAATTAAAGCCCAAGGCCAGCCAAGACGTACGATTTTCCCCAACGTCTACCCCCCACCTTTCTGCGGCGGAAAGTACGCGTGAGAGATGACAGCGCACCGCCCCGTCGTGACAATGTGGCAACGCACGCTCATTGCGCCATCTTGCTGGTAATGCTGAAAAACACGACAGTTTCTCCAAAGATGCACGTTACCAGCGGTAAGTGGTAGATATAAATAGCTTGCCGATTGAACGATGAAGGAGGAGCTCCTTTGTGGCTGAGTGGTTAGCACCTCGCACTCACGATTGAGAGGTCCAAAGTTAGATTCCACGTGCCAGAGTCTTTTTCTCGATTATTTTATTTCTTGCATTTACATATATATAGATACGTATACATATACTGTGAGTGACAACAACGCCGACTCCAAACCCAGCCGAGAGTGCCCATATAGTTGCTATCGCAATTAAACAAAATCTTTCATTTCACAAAAATCTCTTGAGGCCGACACAAGCAGGGGCGTTTCCTCTCTTGCTCTGGCCCCTCTCCCACTGTGCTATTTGCTCATATAACTTGGGGCCTGGGAAAAATCTTAGTATTAGGTCTACATTAAACCATGTAGCCCCCTGTGGGCACTTCTGCTGCACTGCCGGTACTTGAAATCGATATATTTGATAGTGGTTCTTAAATATTGAAGCTTGAAGTAGAGCTCACACACCTGAAAACCATTTAAAAGCGATTTACTGTAAGTGTCTACAGGCATCTAATTTCAAGGAAACATGTTAGGTGATGGTGCTGGTGATGAAACGGCACAAAATTATAATACCGCAATAACAGGTTAGTACACCGGCAAGAAAATACTATCCACAAAACCGATGCAATAAGCAATTGCAACAGCATTCCTTCCTTTTTTTTAACCAAGTGAACAGAGGTAATGCAAGAAGTCCGCGGTGCTAACCGCCAATAGCAAAATATTTACTGATGCTGAAGGAAACAAGCCTGTTTCGAAAATGTACTGCCCGCGCATTTATTATTTTAATGCCATGGCCTACACTAGCAAGTCAGAACCACACATGCAACTTTTATTTTGGAGCAAGAACGGAACATTCTGGAGATGGTGCCAATCGAATGACCTTGAAATACGTATGCAGTATGGGCACACGTACCTTTCGGGTCATGAAAGAAACAAATGTTGACGTCAGCTTGACGAACGACCCACTCCCATGATGATGTATGGTGTTTTACGGCGCAAGGGCCATTTGATGGCCAAAGAGCGCCAAGCCAATGGACAAGTGATGCGAACAATGATCATGATAGATGGCTGTAAAAGGGCCTAAAATTACTCGCTGTAAAGGCGGGTAAACATAGATATTAAAATCATGAGTTGTGACGTGTAATGTGTGTAGTAAAAATGAGCGGCAAGGTTGTGATAAACTAAAAGCTTTAAAAAGATGGATCGAGCACGGATGTCTCTTGAACACCCTTGTTTTCAAGGGCTCCGAGACAGGTGCTTTTTGTGAGGCATCTACCGGAGCAACGGTCTCCGTTTAGAGACCGTGCTGCACCTTACCAGAGTAACTCACGTGAAAAAATTGGAAATCTTTTAAAAAGCTTAAGAGTGATTCTAGGCTGAAAAGAGGGATCCCTACCGATGAACATCGATGAATGGAGCGGCATTTGCTCTCGGTAGGGTAATGGGAAATGTTTTTTTCTAATAGGATCTAATTCACTGCATTGTATTAATATATGAAGGGCAGAAAACACCACATTTGTCACAGATGGGTGGATACCACCAGACAGATGATATGCATGTGTACTGTGTGTGTGTCCTATTTGTAGCCTGGTAAGTGTTACTTGTGTACGGCGTGACTTGGATACTGCAGGCCAGTCTTCAATGTTCCGCTTGACATCGTGTAGCTTATTGTGCGTCTGTGTGTCCCATAACCACAGCCAGTAGGCTCAGAGCTTTCGTCTTACCAGGGTTTTGTGTCTAGTGGAGGAACACCTAGGGAGGTATCAGCAGCGTTTTCATGGACAGATGCAGCAAGCTGGTCTGCCAATACGATTTCCCTTATCTCGCGGTGCCCTGGCACACAGCACACTACGACATGCTGTTTCAGTGTGTAGATAGTGCATAGGAGTGAGTAGGTGAGACGAGCACAGGATTTTTTATGCTTTTCAGGGTTTCCGGCGCTTTTATCACACTCAGGGAGTCTGTGTATACTACTGCTTCTTGTGGTTTTAATTCCTTGAGGCGTTTGACTGCTGCAAGCATCGCATAGGCCTCTGCGATAAAATTGCTTGTATTGGGATTGAGAGCACCAAAATTCGAAAACGAATAGCCTATGGCAGCGTAGGACACAGAAGTGCGAGTTTTGGACGCGTCAGTGTAGAACTCTGATTAAGTGTATTTGTGCTGCAATTTGCGGAAATATGTACATATATGTGCAATAGGCACATGTTGTTTTGTAATTTCTACGAAAGATGTATCACAGTCTACAAACCACCACTGCCATGGTGGGAGTTGCATCGCAGGAGGAATAAGGTGTTGGAGCAGCAGGACGTTTGTTTCTTCAGCCAACTCTCTAACGCGCAGCGAAAAAAGGCGCGCCATTGTGGGTCAGTTGCGAAAAGTT